GGGGTGTCCCTCGGCCACCTCCGTGCTGCCCCCTCGCAGCCCCAATGCCGGCTCCGTCGGGATCGCGGTGTCCGGGATCAGAATTTAGAGCAGGGACCTTCACCAAGGGCATGGTGGTGGATGTCGTGTCCCCCGGGTGTGACCCCCAGGGTGACGAGGCACAGGCATCGCTGGGAGCTCTCCCGGGGTTCGGGGCTCTCGGGTGGCTCTAAAGGGCCGTGCTGCGGTGGCAGCCCTTCCCGGGGACCGGGGCAGTGCCGGTGGCGGCGTTCTCGCCTCTCTTTCGTGGAGGGAGCAAAGACCGGCGATGCCTGCGCCTCCGGGAAACGTGGCGAGGTTGGGCAATGGGTTCAAGTGCAGCTGGGGGAAGGGACTCTCCCACGCACCAACATGCCGAGCGGGTGGGAATGAGCGTTGTTTCCATAGGGAAACAGGCTAAATACGCCCGCATCCCTGCGTGCCCCCGGGGGAGCGGAGCACCACCCAGCCCGAGCCCTCCGCTCTGGCTGATTCAATATTCCCATCGGTGCGGGAGCTTTCATCCTCTCTCTGCTTTCATCCTCCCTCCGCAGGAGGCTGCACCCTGACCGGAGGAGAAAGGTCTCTGGGGCAGTGCGGTGTGTTCGCCCTGCCCAGGTGCGAGCAGCCTCAGCCTATGGCCAGCAGGGCCTGCCTTGGGCCGGGCTTTGTTCACCTTGGCTCAGAAACGCATTTCCCTGCCCTGCCCTGGCTCTCCTTGCTGGCCAGTGAGGAGCTGGGGACACCTCACACCCGGGTCAGCAGCTTGGGATTGGAACCCAGGTGCCAAAACCCAGCGCAGGGCTCTCCTCATCGCCCCGTCCCCATGAACAGGGACCAGAATTCCACCCCCTCTCCGAGAGCAGCAGGAAACCAGCAAACCCTCAATGCTCTGAGGATAAGCTGGCCTGGGAGTGGGCGGTGGGAGGAGAATTTAGCAAATTCCTACTCTCGCCTCCTGATCTGAGGAGGAAGATTTATCCCTAGGGCTAGGTATCTTGAAAGGAGAAGGTGCCTGAGGTTTCCTGCGTGCTGGGGAGGGGAGCAGGGCTGTATCTGCCCATGGAGAACATGAGGAGGAGTGTGAGAGTCCCCTGCACAGCCCGTCCTTGCTGCGAGGTCGTGCAGTGAGCTTGAGTGCATGTGGAGGAGTACAGAGAGCAGCCTGTGCTGGGTCTCCTCCCACAGTAACCAGGCCTTGCTGGAGAGGGGGGTTCTTGGAGTGCAGAGGGGAGGTCAGGCTGGTGAGAACTAGCTGCAAATTGATGGCTAACTCCTTCCAGCAAGCAGTGTGGAAAGCAAGGGAGTGTTATCCCACCCTCTGCTTTTGGGTTGGCGCCCCGGGCATCTCTGACAGCTGCAGTTCTGCACGAGGCAGAGAAAAATGGGGAACCCCCCCACCAGGGGTTTCCAGCTCTCCTCCTCCTCCGTCGTCTCCCTGCCAAGGCCAGATGCTTTAGCAGTGCGTGCAGAAAAGTCCATTGTAGGCAGTTTTTGAAATAACTTGCCTAGAAAGGAAATTTCTGTACTTGGAAGCTGGCTCCTGCCCCAGTCCGGGCACATCCCTGCTATTTTTTATTTAAATCCAGCTTGAGGAGCATGAGAAGGGGGTGGGAGAACTGGTGCTGGGTCTTTACAAATCTTTGACCCTTTTTTTTTTCTGTCGGCTGGAGTGAGAGGTGTCACGTGCTGAGATCCTGGCTGGAGTTTTCCCAGGCTCCTTCCTCGGATGCTTGTGTGGCTGCTGTGGCTGTGGGACCGGAGGCAGGGGTCTCAGGAGGCTGTGGGGTCACCCGTGGGAGGGCAAGTGACTCCCAGGGTAGCGGATGCTGAGAATCAGGGACTGTGCTTAAAAAGGATCCCTGGGGAGCACATGGATTTCTGCATGGATTTCTGTCCCAGCTTGCTGATGCTGGGCGCAGGATGTGTTTGTGAAAGAGTCCATGGGCATCTGCAGTGCCCTGCAGTGGGTTTTCTCCCTTTTCCCCCATCGTGGCCTTATTTCCTTTCCTGGCAAAATATTTGTGTCCTGTGCAGGGGAAATCCAGTGGCTTTTGGCGGCCAGTATCATACAGACAGGAATGTCTTGGCACATGGGGCTTTCCATTAGGAAAACAGATGTTTCTGCAGCAGCTGAGGTCTGCAAAGAGCTTCCCCAGGCTCAAGGGGCAGGAGGAGTCGGTGAGGCGAGTGGTGTGATCAGCAATGCCTGTCGTCCTTGTCCTCCCATTTTGGGAGTGATTTGGGTCTCCAGATCCTGCTGTGTGACATTGTCACCAGGCTTGGTTCAGACCCTGGAAGGTGAGAAGAAAAGGCATGAAGGGACCAGCCTGGGGAAGTGCTGGTGGTCCAGCCAGACACTTGCACTGAGCAGTGCCCGAGCCTCTTGCCCTGCCAGCAGCCTCCCAGGTCCTGGAGGATGCTCTGGGATCAGACCTGCATCCAATACCTCCAGTTCCTTGCTTACTCCTTGTTCCCATAGAAGATATCAACACAAGTGCCCTGGATTTATTTCCCTGGGGGGTTGGTGGCTGGTGGGAGCCATAAGTTGTTGGTCACCAGTGGCCATGTCCCCAGGTCTTGGACAGGGATGGTTCCCTGCGCGAGATGTTCTCCCATACCATGCTTTTTATCAAATCGTTTAGCAGACTTGTGGCCACCAGAGTGACACCTCAGCTGGGCTGGGACACGAGGCCCCTGGGTCACCTCAACCCCCCTGTGCTGTGTGTCTCCCCCCAGGCGTACCTGCGAGCGGTGGACGTGAAGATCCTGCAGCAGCTGGTGGTGGTGAACGAGGGCATCGAGGCGGTCAAGTGGCTGCTGGAGGAGCGGAGCACGCTGACCAGCCGCTGCAGCAGCCTGGCCAGCAGCCAGTACAGCCTGGTGGAGAGCCAGGAGGCCTCCCGGCGGGGCAGCTGGGACAGCCTGCAGGACCCCAACGACAGGCTGGACAGCATCTCCGTGGGCAGCTACCTCGACACGCTGGCCGATGACATGGACGAGTACTCGCACAGCGCCGCTGAAACCGCCGCTGCGTCCACGGCAGGCAGAGCCCTGGCCAGGGCAGAGCAGGATTGGGTCAGGATCGACCTCGAGAGGGGTCCTGCAAAGCAGGAGAAGGAGGCAGAGGAGCACGAGTGGCCCCACGTGGACCTGTCCCCGCCTGGGCTGCCCCAGGATCAGTGGCTGGCTAAGGAGCCCCAGGTGGCCAATGGGTGTTTGGGCCAGCAGTCCCCCTCTCTGGAGGCAGACAGAGACACCAAATCACCACCAGGGGCCAGGGAGAGGCTGGGGAAGGGAAATCCAGATGGGAAGGCTTGGAAAGCTGAGGCTGACCTTGAGAACTGCAAACTCAACAGCAAACTGCACCTGGAGTACGATGCCCACTGGCGCTGGCTCCAGTCACAGGATGATGTGACATTCTTATAGCCCTTGGCTTTGCCTTCCCAGTCCAGCTCTCCCAGCTGCCCACTCTGCTTCACTTCTCTGTGCTTGGGAGAGATGGGGTGGCTGGAAAGGGGGGCCAGGCT